CCTCCTCCTTGTATTCAATTCTCTGACAAAAAAAAAAATTGAGATTACATATCCTGTGCCAAACCTCCTTACTGAATGTCCTCACATTTATAGTAGATTGCTCTTAAATGCTGCAAGTTTTGCCAAATGTATTAAATGTTCTTTCAAATTGAGATCAGTAAAATCTGATTTTGTCAGTTAACAGTAATAGCATTTGAATGATGTTTTCTCTCTCTGGTGCATTATTCTGACATAATAAATGACAAAAATAAGAATTTTTTTGAACTTGCACAAGTGTAATCAAGACCAAAATAATATGTTACATTACCAGAATTCTACAAGGTAATCATGGTCTCAAAATCTTCTCTGAGAAGAGATAAGCAAGGTGCCAATACCCAAGGAAGCTAAAAGAGATGGGAAATACTCTTGATAGATTCTAGAACTGAAAAGCTTACATGTAATCCTAAATTCAGTTAAGGATTTTTTCCAGATTCCAAGCACCCTGTTATGTGCTGTAGCTCTTTAAAAAAAATAATTATTTACTGTAAGCAGAATCATTTATGCGCAACAGAATTTGAACAGAACAGCACACTCAATTTTAACTATCAACTTAGTCCAGAAGTGACATTTGCTACTTATTTTCTAAGAAAAGCACCCAAATACAACATTATAAAAATGGACTACAATTCCTACATCTCAACCAATAGCTTTAGGCCTCACTTAAAGCTGGTAAAATAATTCAGACATCGGACAGAAGACTTGAGTACCTGTACTAGTAACCACATTTGACTTCTGGGCTGTACCAAAAACACCTAGGAAAAGTCAAAGTAACAAAACATACCCAAAATTGGGGTTGCCCCCCAGCCCCAACAGATGAGTTTTGCTACTAAAATCTGATTTCATTTAGCTCATGAATAAACAAAAATACTCTACAGCACCGACAATCATCTTTTTCCCCTATATCTGCAGAGTATGGTTCTATATCAACTGGAGTTACAAACACTTCCAAATGTAAACATGCAATGGTGATCCTATTTATCCTGAATGGGATTTATTGATGGCCAGTATAGTAAGTTTAAAAGTTACATAAAACTTTAATAGTTATAGCATAAAGTGCAAGTTTAACACAGCTGGGATACATAAAGCGTACATTGGAGCCAACAAGAGAGCACACCACCAGTACCATACATGGTACACCAATGGAGAAAATCCTTGGTTTTGCAGCAGACACAAACCCTATTAAAATTCATTAACTTCTTTTTTAGAAGATACACATTAACTGGGGCTAGCTACTTGCAGTCAAAAGGAAACAGGAGTGGCCTCCACCTGAAAACTGAAAGGACAAACTGAGTTGCTGAAAGTTTTCTTAGCCCTCTAGATACCCGAAGTGAAGGAAGAAGAGGAGAAGGGATTTTTCCAGACAAGCTGGATAAGCAGAGTTAAACACAGTAGTATGGACAAAACTCAGCCCATCTCCAAACTCCTTTGAAGTTGAACCCATTAGCTCAGTCAGCCAAACTTATGTTGGATGAAGTTGGATACAGCTTCAGTTTGGTCAATACAAGGTACCACCACAGTAGCATCAATCAGCTCAGAACAGGCTATACAGGTATTACACCATTTCAGGTTGGTCTGACAGATCCCTTCTGACACAGCTACATTGCTCAGTCTTTGTAACCTTCCAGTAGCTTCAGCTATAAAATAATTATCTGTTTCTTCACATCATTCTCTCTGAATTAAATTTTTCCTTCAAGCCATACTTTCTAAGCATCTTATTTTCTTTGCTGCCCTCTGTTTTCTCTAAAGTGTCCACATGAACCTTAAAATCCCAAATTGGATGCAGTACTTGACTTGAGCTTTCCCCAGTTCCACCAAGAACAGAAATGGCAACTTCATTGCCTCCATGCCACACTCCTGTCAATGCGACCAGGAGTTATGTTTTCCTTCCCACTACAATCATCCCCTTGCTGATTTACGTTACGCGCAATCCACCAATGACTCACAGTATTTTGCATCCATCTTTAATGCATTTCATGTTCCTGGTTTCAGACCACTTTAAGATCCTTTGCTTTCTAATAACTGTCATCCAAAGGGCATGGAATTCCCTCAAGCACAGTATCATTAAAAACAAAAGTGTAATCATTTGGATGATAAAGATTAATGAAAATGTGCTACAGTTGGTCCCCAGACAGTCATCCCAGTCTAATATATCTGATATTTATGATTTGAAATTCCTTTTGCTGTGCCTCCCATTACAGTAATGTTTCATTATATTTCTTTAGTTCACATATTAATATAATAGTTACCACCTTATGGTTCAGAAATTGCTTTGCCAAATTCCATGCTTCACTGAAATGTTCAGCCCTCTCAACTTGAATACATTCAACTTAGTTGAATATTTGTAGTTATTCTCTACACATTTAAGACAGTTTTTTAATCTATTCTTGTAGTACTGACCACACTTGAATGTTTTTTGGGGATGTCTGTAATCCTTAAAATTCATAAATCAAGCTTATTTTCTCTAGGTCATCCTTCCCATTAGTAATAAGACTGTACTTCTTTCCCGTGTTACTTTACTTCTAGTGTATTTATTGAACCTTCTCTTCTTTTAAGATCCCAACAAAATAATTTTCCAAAAACTAGAATCTTGACCAAAAAACATTCTTTTATAAATAAATAAACAAACAAAAAGACGAGTTAAGTCATTTTCTTGATCTCAGCATACATGGATTTTCAAGGACTCTTTTCTCCTTAAGCTTACTCACAGCCACACACTGTACACTCACTTCACCCGCTTGTGCAGGAGTCCACATCTGTACATAAACATTCACAAAACTCACACACCCCAGAGCCCAATCCTCCCAAATTTGTAATTTCAGTTTCATCAGCAACAAGGGCTGAAAATTGAATATATACTGTAATTACTCTGTATTTAACGGTATTTTCCTACCTTTTTTAAGCCAGCAAATCCTTCTGATTCCAGGAAGAAAAAGGCAAAGGGCATCAACACAAACAAACATAAATTTGAAAAAAGAGAAGCAAGATTCCATAAACCTGCAACAAACACAAAAAAGTTCGTCATAAGTTGCTCAGCTTAAAAAGTTAAACAAGTTACATTTTCCTCCCTTACATTACACTTACATATAAAAATGTAGTACACATAGAAGTGCTAACAGAAGCCAGGTTTTTATTAATATATAATTATTTACAGGTCATTGCTGAAAAATACTCATTGGGTATTTTACTACCACCAGTGAATCTCACAAAATTCAGTTCTGTGTACTCACTTCCTCCCATATTTTTCCTTCAAAAGAAACTCAGACAAATGATAGATTTTAACATCAGCAATACACAAATGCCATCATCACCTCCAAATTAAAAGAAGGTATCATGGTAACAGCAACAGCAGCTTTCAATGATGAGGTGACAGGACCAGCAGACAAGAGGAGAGCAGTGGATGTGTTTTATCTCAGCTTCAGTAAGGCTTTCAACATCATGTCCCATAACCTCCTCAGACTGATCAACAAATTGTGGCCTAGGTAAGTGGACTCTGAGGTAAACTGAAAATTGGGTGAGCTTCCAGGCTCAAAGGGTTGTGACCAGCAGGACAATGTCAGGCTGGCAGCCAGTCACCAGTGGTGCACCCCAGGTCATCAGTACTGCGGTTTACATCTGCATTAATGACTTGGATGATGAGAGAGCGTGCATCCACAGCAATGGCAGAGAAGGCCATTGAGGTTCTGTCAGACACCAAGTTGGACACAAGCCAGCAGCGTGCCCCTGTAACAGAGGAAGCCAAAAGCATCTTGGGCTCCATTAGAAGTGTTGCCAGCAGGTTGAGGTGATCCTTTCTCTCTGCTCAGCACTGGCGGCACACATCTGGAGTGCTGCATCCAGATGTGGGCTCCTCCATGGCCATACTGGACCGAGTCCAAAAGGACCACAGAGATGATTAACGGACTGTGGCAACTGCACGACACAAGCAGAGGCTATGAAAGCCGGAATTGCATGGCCTTGAAGAGAGGACATTATCAATGTATGTAAGTATCTGATAAGGGAGAGGGAAAGAAATAGCAAGTCTCACTTTTCACAGTGGTATCCAGTGAATGGAGAAGAGGCAATAAGCACAAATTGAAAACAAACATAAAAACAACTCGAATGTAAGACTTTTCCCCCCTGAGTGTAGTCAAACACTGCAACAGGCTGTCCAGAGAGGTTCTGCAATCTCCATCCTTTGACATATTCAAAACTCAACCGGGCACTGCCTTGAGCAGCCTTCTCTGACCCTGCTTAGAACAGAAGGGTCAGACTGGATGATTTCCAGAGGTCCCTTCCAACCTCAACCGTTCTGTGACCGAGGTGAAAAATCAACAATTGACTAAAACTAGGACATCTGTAAGACATGTGTCACCTGCAGGAAGAGAAAAGGTTTAGAAAACAACCTGAAGTGATAACTGATCTCCATTAAGGGAGAACTCTCTATTAAAGATTTTCTAAGCTGAACGCTTCCTGAACAACCAGTTTCTGGTGCATAGACATGAACCCATCATCACCCTATCAAAAGCTGTGCAGGATGCAGTGTTTCTTTCTTATAAAAGGAGAATCTTACCTGCAATTTAGCACTAGTGTAGCTAACGGGTTTAACTACTGTCACATGTTCTGCATCCTGAAAACACGGCTTTTCTTTTGTAATTGAGAAAAACAGGCTTAGCCCTCCACCTTCCCCAAAACATACAGTATAGCCCTGCAGAACTGTGCAAGTGTGTACAACGTGAAATCCAAAAAACAACATCTCCCATGAGAAGAAAATGTGAACTAACAGCTTTGTTTACTTCTTTCTTGTCATGTACAGGCTCGTTCATTTTCTTCTTTAAAATTTCCATTTTGGAAAGAATAAGTAAAGAAAGACATTTACTGCATGTCTGGGGAATTCATTATTGAGAGAAATTCCTGTATTTAGTTTCAAATGTAAAACAGTTAGCAGTTATCTTCACCTACAACCCCTTAAAAATGCCTTCACCATATATACTTCCTTTTTTCTTTAAATGAAACTAAATTTCAAAGAGAAATAAAAGGGGGGTAGGAGGAAAGAGGCCAAGAAATCTACTTCTTCAGCAATTGATAGCACCCAACACCAAGAAGCAAAACTTAGCCAAATAAGCTACAGAAAACAAAAGAAGAAAATTCCAAAAGATGCGTGAAATATAATACTCAATTGCTAAAGAAAACAGACTGCCTAAAGGTGGCTAAACTCCAGTGAACAAAGAGGGGGATTTTTCCTTTTGAATTTGCTTAGCCAGGAAGCTCCTGTTACCATTCAAGGAACATTCACACATAGCAACATCAGCAAGAATGTCATTAACAGCCCTTACAGAGGTACATTAACTCAAGCAGTCTGTGAACTTTTTTTCCCCCAGAAAATGAAGACACCAGTGTTAGAGAGAAATACTTCTACATCGGCTTGGAGGTTTTATTTCAGTGGTCTTCCCTAACTGAAGACAGTGCATTCGGTTACCTGATGTGAAGCTGAATACCTGGTTGTCCTAATTTCAGCAGCTCCATTACATGTATATCTACAATGTAAAACACTGCTGCACAGTATGTACAGAGCATTTTAAGGGAGGGGAGAATAGTACCCATCTGGTATGATTTTTAAGAAGTTAAAATCCAAAACTTTACACATTAATAGCTGATAGCAACCACATTCACAGAATAGTAAATTACAGGGCTACAATAGGCACGTGAAGTTATGAGAGGTAAGGACAGGGCTGTACTGCTGCTGATATACACATACACTTTCCTTAAAGTAAGGAACATACAGGACCCTCTTCCTCCCCTACTGTATTTCTTATCCTAATTTCATAGTTCAGAAATCAAATTAAAGTAGACTGAGAAAAATAATTCTACCTTACTACATTGACTACATCATAAAATTGAATGAGGCTTGCAGATATCAATGTGTATAAAAGCCTTAAGCAGTGTGCTGGCCTTTTTTTTTTTTTTAAATTTGTAGCAATCTAAGAATATCCCCTAGAAAACAAGTTAATAAAACAAAAATTGAAAACCTCTCAGCCTTTGGCAAACAGAGTAGACCCTCAGCAATTTTTCAACCCTTATCCATGGCAGTTTTATTACGTTTTACTTCCACCTGGTGGCTGTATCCACCAACAGCACAAGTGAAGAGTTCGCTGTCAGAAGTATTTCTGGGTTTAGTCCAACATGCATTAGGTAAGAGTGTTTACTGGATCCAGGTACAGGCTGTCTGTTTTCAAAAATCAGAAGCATATATTTTCTATATGCCACAACTAATGCAACAATCTACAGTATAAAGACCCTTAATGGTACATTCAACTACCTCAGATGACATCTGTAATGGATAAATCCAGCAAAACGAAATGTTTCAAAGTAATACAAATTTTCCCATTTGATAACAATTGCAAAGCAGTAAGCAAATCATACATGAAGGCTATGCCAGACAGAGTGTTATGGAGATATGAACATTCTCTGAACTTGAGTGCTTGTGATAGCACTATCAAGCTCTTAAAACTTGCCCAGTTATTTCATAACTAACTTCAAGAAGGAATGGCATTACATGGAATAGGTTTGTACAGAGCAGTAAATGCTATTGTGTAAACATAGCGAATACCACAAGAGGGAGCCCTTCCCCAAGGTAACGTTTTGAAAGACCGTACACCGATTTCGTCAAGTTGGAGTAACAGAAGCCTGTGGTCAGATCCAAAATCTACTGATGTTTCTGAAGTCTTCACATCGACTCCGGTAAATCTTGGTTTAGTTCAGTCATGTCTACCCCTAGCATGAGCTTTACAATATACAGTCAAACTTGGACATATCAAGATGCTGAATTTACTTTCTTGCTAGCCATTACTATTGGACTTCATGAAATATAAATTACAACATGCATGCATAGTGGTACTTTTAAAAGGTTATTACATTAAAATCAAAAGGTGGCAGCCACTGAAAAATTCAAAGGCCTTCCTATGCGACAGCTGCTTTCTCCAACAGATTTCTAAATAAACAAAGTTTACTCAAGTAATGTAGCAACACTGACAGAGTGAAATTTCAGAATCATTTATTATATAATTTTTGCTCCCCGAAATATTTTATTGTAGTTTTTCCAAACTCAACTCAGATACAGAATGAAACATTATTTTCCATTAGTTTTATTTTTTTTTTCACATTTGGGAGCAAAGAATATAAATCTGTCTGAGCAGCTAAATCTGTGTGAAAAACGAAAAGTAGCTGGAGGTTTTCTTCCAAGTAGGAGGTATACCAAATTAGCAATCCCCCATGATGAGTGACAAAACACATCACAGAATAACTCAACTAGAAAGAATCTCTGAAGTCCTGTAGTCTAATCTGCTGCTTTAAACACCTAAACTGCAGGTGCAATCAGGTTGCTCAGGGCTTTAGTCAGCTGAGTTTTGGAAAACTTCCAAGGATTTGGATGTCCCAGTCTCTCTGGACAACCTCTCTCAGTGTTTAGCCATGGCCCACTGTGAAGAACTATTGCTTTATGTCCTGCAAGCACTGCTTGTTCCTCTCACTGCATACCCCAGAGAAGAAGCTCGCTCTATGCAAACTCCTCACCAGTTTCAAATTCAGCTGTGCCCAGGCTTCCCTAATTTCACAGCAGTGTATGTAACCCAGGTGATATTTCTACACCTCTCATAGGCAGTATATCCCTACTTCTACCTTCTGTACACTTGCTTTTATGTTTTGAGCTCAGGAGTTCCCCATAAAGCCAAGTCGACCTCTTCCTACACCTGCTCATTTTCTGGCACACTGAGGTTCACATGATGATGCTCAAAGGTTATGGTTGAGAGTAAGCATCTCCACTGACTTCCTTTGCCTTCAGAGCATTCCCCAGTAAGGTCCCACATACACAATTCCTGAAGAGGACAAAGTCTACTGTCCTAAAATGTATGTCTTTATTCTTCCTTTTTCCTTCCGCACTTTTCTCCAGTCTTACATTACTCTGTCAGGGGTCACTGACCACCACACCTACAGTCAGCTCCTCTTTAGTCAAGGGTTTAAAAACCCTATTTCTTTTACTGTCCAGATAACACTAAAATATTCAGATCACTTCAGAAAGATGACAGACAATAAGCATTATTTCCTGTCTTCACCTATCCACATTTAATTTGTTGTAAAAAAAAATTGGATCTGGAATTCTTGAATTTGCTATTTGTGACTATTATTAGACATTAGGAAAGAAAATAAGTTTTTCAGAGAAAAATCCTCCAAAGCCCAATTACTATCTCTTCATAAGAGCAGAAAAAGGGCAGCGCAGTTAACTTGTAAATTATTTGTTCCAGATTAAATACATTGTTTCACATAGCAAAGATACAATATGCTTTCTCCAGCCAAATCTACTAAAGAATGTCCTGTTTTCCACCAGTTATTTCCCTTAGACACATAAAAGTATCCAACTTATTTTCAAACATTAGTATTCATTATACACGTCATAGTCCTAAGCATTTTAGCCAATACCAGAAAGCATGCAAAACTCCCGCTGCCAGACATCAAGGCATCATCACTGCAAGTACAAGTAATATTCCTTTCTTGCATCTTGTTTTCCTTGAAATAGTCCAGTTTTAAGTGGTAAAGAGACACAATATATTCTGTAATTTTCCTTGTTTACAAATAAATCACTAGCAGTTGAATTTAACTACCTAATCCCAACTGCCCATAGCTAGCAAGATTCTTAAAACATTTTTTTTATTTTTAGATAGGCATAAAACTTTTACATTAAAACATGACGAAGAAGTTTGAACAGTGCGTTTTCAAGCTAGCTTCTAATACCATTCACTCTACATTAGCATTCAAAGCACTGAATTTGGTTTAATTCCATTGAGTCTGCATAATTCTTTAAAAAAACCCAGCAGAGCAGTTAAAATAGACATTTGTGATGTATCACACAGCAGTAAAACCAACTAGCCAATAACATATTAACACGTTGATTAGCATCTTAAATGAAAACGGTGTTATTAGTTTGAAAATAATAACATATCTGTGCACATATAATGAAGACATCCATTTTAATTACATTGTGCTGAGTACTAACCATGAATTAGTGAGCCATTTAACCACTGAATATAGTAGTTTTGCGGAAAAGAAAGCAGGATCTCATTGCTGATTATTGAGAAAGGTAGAAGCAGGACTGCACCAGCTGAAACTGCTAGAGTGAAGGTGCTCAAGAACAGCCTGAAATTTAAAGAAATGCACCACTGTTACCACCAACATGCTCTGAACAGGGGAAAAAAAGTAGTTAGCCTACCTGTTAATCAGTGTCTGAAGGGAACACATTCTTACATTGCAAAAGGGCATGAAAAACTGTATTCCACAATATTTCACTTCCAAAAAGCAAATTTCAAATACCAAGTAGTTTACAGAATGCAGTAGAAACAATTAGTTTTTACCACCATTCTTCTATTGGGACTGACATACATTCAGTCCTAATATCATACACAGATTAAATTATTTGAGTTCATGGAATATCTTTTCATAAGTCTTCTATTTTAGTTTTCATTTCCCACATACATACTCAGAATAAGAAAAAATTCCATTTCTAAATTACTACAATTTTCAAAAGCAGAGCAGCTTCTTAATGTCTAAAAAAGTGAGTATAATTATAAATAAATATTTTAACACCAAACTAAAAATATATTGCTTTTCTTTAACAAAATAGTTATTCTAGTATAATCTCATAGTTTGGGATTTTCTGATAGCTGTAAAGTCAATACAGAGAAATTGTTGGAATTATTTAAAATCTTTAAGCTTGTTCTTTTCAGATCCCTATACAACTTATATCAAATGCCACCTTGTGGCATTGAAGAGAACTGTGCTCTTCAAAAGGTAAGACCAACAAAATCATTCTTGCAGAACTAAGCCAATGCTAGAATAAAATTAGAAAGAATTCTCCAAACCTCATGACAAAAAAGGATAAACTTAGGTAGATCATTTCTACAACAGGAATGTCATTAAGTTGCTTACAGAGATCTTACATTTCCTTAACAGCCTACAAATCTATCCCTCATTCACACAACACTTAATTTACAGGCTCAAGTCTGGGTGACTGATATTATTTTAAGAATATATTCTTGTACGGTTTTTTTGTTCATTTCTGAGGTATTTTCTTCTTTTCTTTAATGATGGTTAAGAATTGTAGGTCAGAATTGTGAAACTTAACACACAACAGCCTTTCAAGATGCAACAGCAGTTCGGCTTTGTTTTCTCCCCCCAATCATCTCTCAAATCCTGACAATTATGCTATGCAAAAAAATATCACATGTTTGACAGTTATTGCTTTTTGGAAAAAACACAAACATATAACGAACAAGAGATCTTAGGCTTAAAGAACATGAAGCATTTTGTATTTATAGCAACACTTTCAATGAAAGGCTATTACTCTGATGGAAGTGCTAATCTTGTCTTACACTGTTTTCTCGTGAAGAACACAGTACTTACAACTGATACTTGTACTTTAGAGCTAAACTAAAAAACAGATTCAGAGGGAATAACAGTTAACAAGACAAGTTTATTCTTTGAACACTGAAAAGTTCAGAACCAGGCTAAGACCACAGATGCTATGAAAATTATTTGATCCCAAAGAGCCTTTACTGTTAGAAGAGCTTTCACTGTCATCTTAAAAGCAGAGGAGAACCATAGAATCATTTGGTTGGAAAAAACCTTTAAGGTCAAGTCCAATCAGAAATGCTCTTATAGTTCAGAGCAAAGAGCTTTTGTAGCATTTAAAAGTATGCCTTTTTCTCTCTCTAGATCTGAAGTAGATCTTGTGGCAAATAAGCATTTCAAATTCATAAAAAATAGTGGTATCAGACACTACTGGGAGAAGCACACCTAAAATTTACGTCATCCTTGCACATCTTTCAAGCATGTCACAAATGCACAACTAAAAGTGAACAGCTTGCAATGTACTCAGCACTTTCCCAGGGTACAAGACAAATCAATAAAATACTCAGTGAGCTCCCCTTCCAAAAGGATGGCAGCACCACCACGGAAGAGCTAAAAACATCATAATAGGCAAGCAGCAAGTCCACATAGTTTAGCAAATCATGTAACTGAGAGGGCAACAGCTCATAGATGTTCTGTAAATCTTCAGACATATTTAAATAAGAGATATTAATATCCAGCTTTAAAAAGGAACAGAAAGAGTAGAGATAGTTGCTGGCAGGCCAGCAGGTCTGGCAAGTGTTTGTCTTCCGTTTGTTATGCTTTTTTAAGGCTTTTTTTTTGAGATTATCAAATACAGATGTCGACTTCAGGGTGAGTACTACTCAACTTTCTTCCCAGGATCCATTGCCTCCCTTGACAGACTTCCATAAGTGCAGTGGGAACTTAATCTACCTTCCATAGAAACATACATTTTAGAGAGGTGCAGGTCTTGCACTGAATCTCACATCAGGTTCTCATGCAATATTGTGAACAAGTTTAGGCCTACCAGGAAAACCAGAGGTGAAAAAAGCCCTGTACCAAACCGTCTTGTCTCTTGTCATAATACAAGGTGCCACGTGATCAAATCTTTTTCCCCTCTGTCCTCTAGCAATTTATTTGTTGTCACATTTAAAACGGACTGTTACTTATTTGGAAGCATACAAGATTCCTATCATCATAATATATTCAGGAAAAAAGTTTCCAAAAAGAACTATACATACGATATTCTGTTAACAATGGCATCTTCATCCTCTTGCTCATCTGAAAATTAAATTACAGCAGGTTATATTCAATACTTAAATCATCTTTCTTCAGGATAAAATATTTACCATAAAAATTCAGAATTACTAAAGCAATTTATTAGCATCAGTATTTTAAGAACACTCCTATAAAAATGATTTTTTTTTTGTTAGTCTTAAACTCTTTTCAATCAATCATTGTAACGACAAAGTTATTTCACTTTATTTAAATTTGTAGATCAAAACTTCTTAGAAACATCTTCCAGAGGGCTCTACAGCAAACAAGCTTTCAGATGTCCTACCACAGCTGCTGCTAGGAACTGTCTCTTCTGGCCTCTCTTAACATGCAGAGAGCAGGCAAGCTACAGGAAAGTCTTAAGGTCCATACTAACTACTACTAGAAATTCCTAAATAAATGTTTCACTTTCAGTATTCATGTATTTTTAGAACAAGAAAGCATACCCAGAACAGTAGTGATGACCACTCAGTTGCTTCCCCTTACTCACCTCTCCCTCGCACTCCCAGGGATTTGGGGGAGAGGGGGAAGGACAGTTGTTGTTGTTTGTTTTGAATTTAAGTTACCATCGCCTTCCTTCTGGTATTTCACATCTTACACCATGTTTGTTCACTTATTCCTCAGTTAATATTCCAACATTTTGAAGTATTATCAACATTTAACACAGAGGTCAATCATTAATATATCCTTCAGTTATACTTTATACCTTTCTCTACACACTTCTGTATACAAACGTATGTATTTCTGCATTTGAAATAATTTGAGAGTCAGCTTTCTTCCTTTAAGTCTCCCAGGTCTTCCACAAGAGGTCACTCAATTTAAAAATCTAAGAATAAAGCAAGCCAGGTGTTTTAAGTTCTTAAGTCATGCACACAGTTGAAAAACATGTAGCCACTAACATCATGCTATTTTGAAATTCTTCTGTGAAAGTAGACAGTGTTATTTTTTTCCTGGCTTTTGATGGGAATCTCATGTTGCTTTGAGGGACTAAGTCAAGGTCTCTTATGAATCATCTTGGCTAAAGAGCTTGTTGTAGAAACAGCAAACAACAATTTGTCCTGAAAGAATTTCCAAAGTGCTAACTCTCCAAGTGTGTCTCACCAGGAAGATCCTAGCAGGCTACAACATTTGTCTAAGTAAACGCTCACAAAGCTTTCACAAAGTCAGGACAGCTGCAGAGCAGTTCCTCCAACTACCTGATGAGATCAACCTGTCAAAAAGGTAATAAAAGTGTCTTTACATACAATAGTATTTACCAAACCAGTTCCCTTGCCCTGTACTTATCTCCAAACAGTAGCAGCTTTGTAGTATCCAAAATACATATCAGGATCAGAAGACAGTATCCATCTTACTCATTTAACTCTCCTCTGTATTTAGATGCAGTTTGGTTTTTTTAAGGTATTTAATTTCTTGAAGAGCTTACTTTTTAAAATGTGAATCCATCTATGAGAACAGCTCTGCCATAACACAGGTCACTATAGCTCAAACTGTTTCCATCAAAAGTTTAAAGTGCCAAGATCATCATGCACAAGAATGCTTCTCCAGCATGACTGACTCTCACTGAGCACCAAGGTCCCAGATAAGCTGTCAAGAGTCAAAAATTCTGCCATTTTATAGATTTTTATGCTATTTGTCTTTAGACTAAATATAGAAGAAAGTGACAGGGGTCCCTACAGACCAGTTTCAGACAGACAATGTTTCTAAGGAAAAAGAAATAGAGGATTGTCTCAAAGAAGAAGACTTCAGTGGCGAGGTCATAAGGAACAGGTTAAGAACACCAAAATAACTGTACCTGAGCAAAGCAAGATTTTTAGAAGAAATCCGCTACATCCCTTCTGTATTACTGGCAACCTTTTTCACTTCACCAGCTAAAGCTTTAAACTTGGCTTGGGTGCTAGAACAGAGCCTGAAGATACTAATTCTGTAAAAGCTGACATGAAAGAGGAACAAGATCTAAAGGCAAGGTAGGTGAAGCATCTACTTGAAATTCCCCCTTTTCTTCTCTCTCAAAACCACTAAAATTTAGTCTGTCACAGAGCCACAACAGAAGAACTGACTGGGGCCATCCACTGTACCTTCGTAACAGCCACCCACTCTCATTCAAACTCTTTCCTCGTGGAGGCAAAGAAAAAAAGAATCATCAGTTCACTTGAAAAACAAAATTATTTTTGAATATATTAACAAGCCTATGCTTACCTGCTTTCCTTTTGTATCTTGTGATAATGAAGTAGGAAACAATGTAGAGAACAGCAAACAGAAGAAAACAGATCTGGAAAAAAAGAAATTGCATTTATAAGGTTGTGAAGAAATGCCTGGATCCTAATAGTCACAGAATCACAGAATAGTAGGAGTTGGAAGGGACCTGTGAAAATCATCTAGTCCAATAATAACAAACAGAAAATCCAGTATCAACAAAAATTGAACTCAGACCAACAAAAGTGTATTCTGTGTAAATGTCAACACTATTTTTGTTTTGTATCTTATAATAGAAAGTTAAACCAATAACAACAGTATAATTAGAGTAACAGGTACTGGACCAATTCTATGGCCAGCAAGTTTTACTCCAAAATTAAGAAAAAAAGCCTTATTTACAGTGCAATTTTTTGTTTGGGAGAGGGGTGGGTGGGGTTAGTTTTTAAAGTTTGAATACACTTGAGTTGTAAAAGTTATCATGCTCTGAATCCCATTCACATATGACCTAAGGGTAATCATATGGCCTCTTGAAGATTTATTTTGGAGTAAGCTAACAACATATGTGGAAAGAAGAAAGCAGTTATGTTTACGATTTCCATCATGTCTTGAATCAAGCAAATTTTAGGTGACCAAGTCAAACACGATGTTTCCTTTAGAGCCAGAAGCCAAGGGCACAGTTTCCCTCCTCACAAGGTAGGTTGCTTATTTGGGTCAGATGCCCAGCATGACTTGCATCAAGTTGTTTCTAAGATTTGGAACTAGAATTACAATACGATAAGGTAAGACCAAAATACCTACAAAATGTGTTGGAAATCTTGGCAGGAAAGGAATCAAACAGCTAGACAATTTTATCCCTCCAAGCCTAGAATTTAAAAAATAATTTAAAAAAACCCAACACATTTTATTTGCTCTAGAGTGAGCCATCAGTGGTTCAATACTACTTCCTCAATCTTTTTTGTTGATATATATTAAAAACATGAGTCAGTCAAACGAAACAAGAATGAAGCATGTCATCCCACAATGTTGTGGCCCTCAGCCTTCACTAGTCCTGAGCAGCCATAGTGAACAGTGCTGTGTACCAACAGTGTATTTTGGGTTTTATTAGCTTGCAGGAAACATGACCTACACACCACAGGCTGATAATCTACTTGAAGTAGCTCAAACTGTTATAAAAGACTCTTTTGCTTGTGCATAACAGTAGTAGCCACCTAATAAGTCTTAACACACAGCTGTTAACAAACTGGATCAAGTAGAACTGTTCTAGCAGTTTTTATCATATAAAGTGACTTTGCCCAATTAACTGTAACAAGGGGTTTATTTTTTAATTGGCCCTGTCTGGATCTGCAGCTCAAAGCATAGCCAAGCGTCTGTACATGACATTTGGGTGCCTGCAACTGCCCTACAGATGTCCCCCAGAAGCATGACAGTGCCAGAGGTCTGAAAGCAGTGACTGAGCTCATTCTCTGCACAGGCAACTCACAGCAGTGGTATCTGAAAGAGATGCTGAAGTTTCATAACTAGATCTCTAAATTCAGATATCTAATCTGAATAGAGTTCACCAGTCCAACTTTCCAGAGGATGCTTTAAAGAGGAAAGGGTTTTGATAAAGAAAATAGTTCTTCAAATAAACAATTCTATTAATAAAGAACTTTAAGATTTAAGAAAAAAATATGCTGCTACATTTTTTAATCAGGAAGAAAAAAAAAGGAAACTGCAAATAGCTTTGGGTTTTCAGAGTACTCTGACAGTCTGTCCTGTCAGTAACAGAAAACGCAGTGCCAGTGCTGAAAACGTCCTTCTCCAGGATTCCAGCTCCTCTAAAAACTAGACCAAGGCTACAGATTGAAACATCTAATTTTAGGCATCTACTTTTGAAAATTAGGTATCACATATACAGGTCAGTAAAATTATTTAAAAATCTGTCAGACCCAAATAACACTGCCTCCATGTAAAATAAAGATACAGTTAAGCAGATTTTTTGTTTAATTTTAAGACAAGAATAAGTACAACAGCAATCTTGTTTGTATCATCAAATAAAACAGATGACCTTTATACTACCTGTGATAGCAAGGTTACTAGGAAAATGTGGGTCTGTACTTCTAAAGTACCACTGAGATAACTGACGTATTTTGAGGGCACAGAGGATGAAAGCTGGCCAGTAACATGAACTGTCAAATCTTGTATTTCTAGTTTTAGATGACAGCTACTTTGCAACTCAGCAATAAGGTGTAACTATATATCTTGGTGTAATTATTCTTCTACCTCTGTCAGAATTGAGACCAGTTTCGTAAATAAATTTTTTAAGTTGTTTATTACTGAGAATTCATATAATTTTAAAATGATCAGCATGAAAATAAATAATAAGTAAATTCTAATCAGTGAAAGCTTTAGGATATTAATGAAAGAAAATTCATAAATTAGAAGTCCTTCTCACTGAACAAAACAAGTCAGGAAGAACAGTCAAATATTACTTCAGTCTTTATTTATACTTAGTGAAATCTATGATCCTGTGGTGTTTCTAACCATGCATTCTGAATAGCTTTCTAAAGGGAGCAGCAAAAGCCAGCATCCCAACTATTTTTAGATTGGAACCCAGTTAAGTTGGGGAAAAGGAATGTGTTGCCCATGATAGCCAAAGAATAGACTCCACCATCCTGTCACACTGCAATCCTTACTCCTCACACTGCTCTTTGTTGCAGAATAGTTATGTACTGCAAAAAAAATAATACAGCCCTTGTTTGTCTTATGGCTATATATAGCAGCACTGAGCCCTTCTTTCTGCAATGTAAATATTTCAACACATTCACCTGAGAATCACACTAGTAACTTAGCGTCATCCTCCAATCACTGAATTCATCCACACTGCTCTCCCTAATTGCTTCCAGCAGAGCAGCTCTCAAGTTACAGTAAAAACTTGGTTTTAGGGTTCATCACCCTTTTTTCCCTTTTAAAACCCACACTTGGATTTTGTACTACACCTATTATTTTGGGGTAATCAAGTCCTTCCTGGCCATATTCTAACCCTCTTTTATATTGGCTATACCTCACAAAGAATTGGTTTCGTGCTAATAACAGAATGGTTTACTTCATTTTCATCTAAAATGAGCAAGATAATTCTTAATATTGAGACTGAATAGTAGCTTCCCCCCCCACCCAAAATGCAACGCCTATTGTCATGTACACCACAGCCAGTTTCCTATTCAATCTTCTATTGTTCTTTCACAACTTGGAATATATTTCCTGGACATAGCAAAAGAAGCACTCTACCAGTAGCCATGTGGCTTCAGAAAATACAGTTCTTAACAACTCCTAATTTGACTTTCTTAAAAAACCCTTAGAATAGGACAAATTTACATGTACATACGTTCATCGTACTCTAAATCATCTGTCAACTTTCCCTTTTAACCACTGACTAAAAAGTACATGTAGTCATACTGAAATAGGGCACTAATCAAAAATCACCATACATAAAGCTACATTGATATCTTCGGTGAAAGAAGAGCCTATATTCTTTAAATTCCATCTTTTCTTCAGAAAACTATTATATGAGACAGTATCAGAGTAAATGCTGAAATACAATGTTAAATCCAAATCATACTGCAAGCTACGTTTTTAGCCAAAAAGCAGTGTTCTATGCCATCACCCATCTCTACAATAAAAGCTGACAAAAGTTAAGGTTGTTGCAAATGCAGCAAATCCAGGACAGGCCACGTTCCTCATAACCCCAAGCTCTCTGCAAGGAGATTTTCACTAGAGCTCAAATGAAGCTCTTCCAGGTTTGACTTGAGGAGACAATGAAGATGCTGTGCAAGGAATGTACACAACTGCGATGAGTGAGGATTTCTGGCATTCCCCGAGCGTCAACTGAAACAAACAAAAAGAAAAACTCACAAAACAATAACTTCCAATCTTAAAGTTCATTTCCTTAAATTCATTCCAACTTTACAGAGAGGTAAAGTAGTTGTGGATCTGTTGCCATCATTAGACTGCTTCTGGGAAGCTCCTTTAAACAGTTATTGTATGTTGTCACACTATAGGAAACATACACTCAGTCCATTTGACCAGCTGCATCAAAATATAAAGGAAATTAAGAGAAGCCTGAGAATTGTTTATGATTATAGCTAAACAGTCAAGCAAAGAAATTTAAAACTATTTTTAATGTCTTTTTTTATGTTCCCCCTCCACACCACTCAGTAACTGAGAACAAAACACAGGGATTCTATGCTACATTGAGAGACTTCCTTTTCACAGGTGGCACATTAAGAAGCCTTCAAATCTTGAGCATATAATTAATTTACATCTCTTTGCATGGACTAAATACAACCTCTGGTAGGACAAGCAAAAGAAATGCCTTTCCCTGGAGCTCTTCATCTTCATTTGGGAAAGGAAGTGCTTTATGCTCCTGCTTAGGTTACACATGACACAGTAGCCAAGAGAGGCTACTGCTGGAGATACATTGCACTACGTCCTTAGGTGTCTTGTATCCAACTGTTCCATACAGTCATACTTCTGGATCTGTAATCCAAAATCATCCAAGTATAATCCAAGTCATACTTTTGGATCTGTATCAGACAGCTCTCAGCTCCTGTGAGAACAGAGCCGGAGATAAACTGCATGCATTTCAGTTCCTAACTATGTGCATCTAAGGGGCTGGCCCTGAAGAGTCTAGCATTAAACTTGAGCAATAAAGGTTTGAACTAACTCAAATTACATTGTACTTATCCCACTGACAATTACTAAGGATCAGCTGACATTAATTTGTCCACGTGGATGATCTTTAAAACTCTGGCACTGAAATTCATGCCTTGGATTAGTAAAACATCATCTTCTGTTGCAAGTGCTAGAGCTACATTTTCATCCTAAGAAACAATACGCTCAAAATGCACAAGGCTCTCTCTTTTCCCTTATCCACAAGATAAACACATACACACAAAATACAATTGTGAAAGATGGTTCTATGTGAATTAAAAGCTGCATTTTGGGGTGCAGAAAGATCAACAGCTTCTATTTATATAGTACAATATTCTTCCCAACTCAACTGTTGTGCAGAAAATACAGCTGTAGTTTATACTAGGAAAAAAGCATACAGCTGTGTTGTCCAATAATTGCCCAATACCTTACAAGCAGTGCACCCTGGTAGTAAACACTCCAAAGAGCATCCTGGGCTGTATTACCAGAAGCTAAGTCAATAATAATGGCAAGTAATTATCCTTCAGTCAGCAATCATCAGGTCACACACAGTTGCTGCATCCACTTTTGAGCCTCCAGTATAGGAAAGACATTGGGAATTGCAGCAAGGAAAATCACCAAGATGATCAGGAGGCTGAAACACCTCCCTGGTGCAGACAGGCTGAAGGAGCTCAACTTGTTCAGTCTGAGGACAAGAAGTCTTCAGAAGGACCTGATAGCAGCTTGCCAGTACCTATAAGGAGGTCATTAAGAAGGCAGAGCTGGGCTCTTGATATTGGCGCACAGCGCGAGGATGAGACTAGAGGTAAGGCAAAGTCCTCTCTATGAGGAGAGCCAAGCAGTGGAACGAGCTGCCAAGCAAGGTTTAAAAGTATTAGTGTAAGCACAGGGCCCTGTAGGGCTGTCAGGGATGTCCTCCCACTCTGAAAATGATGGAGATGATACAGAACAACTATCAGCAGTAAGGAACCAACACAGAACTCCTTTGCAGAAAGGAGTCACAGATCTTGATAATGTTCTTTGATTTAACTGACTATCAAGTATGAAACACAGGTTCAAGATTTCCACTTCAAAAGCATCAAAGCAAACAAGCGATCATTTCCTCCCACTTGAGTACATACTAGCATTTAGAATAGGGAGAGTAAATCTGGAGGAGCAAAACAGACAAGAAGTGAACAGCGTTTTACTATGCAATGTATGAAATGAAAGAAGGAAGGAAATAACTTTAAAGTGGCTGTATCAGTATTAAAACAAAAAAAGTTACTGCCATTACATCCATCAGCATTTCTAGGCAAAGGATATGCAAAAAAAAAAACCCAAACAACAACCAACAGCTATAGACATAATGAAGAGTACAATGGAAGAATATCTCCAGCTCAATGTCCTTTTTCCTACACAGAAAACAGAGAGAGAAAAGAGAAGGCAGAGCTCACCCTGGCTAACACCAATCCCTTAGCACACGTCTAAGAACACATTTGAGACCTGAAAATGGAACCATCAGTGTTTTGCTTGACAGTGATTACTACCTACAGAAAAGCAGTGGTGTTGCACTTCTGGGTTTTAATTTCTATAATAGAAAACAACTAAACATAGCATTGTACACCCATGTCAAACTGCTTTCATGTTGCTGAAGTATTTTAATCTGCATTAAAATGCCACACAGCATCTATAAAGCTTCCTCCTACTGTCCCACTTGGCAACTACTTTTGTTTACTTGTGGAAAGGATGGCAGGAACAAACAGCAAGAAAATACAAGTGGAGACAAACAGCTCTGCTTGGTCTACTTCTAATAAATCCATTATAAGCAAATAAGGTGTTCCACCTATTTTGGATGTGTCAACACTAAGTTACCTATAACAAACTATGCACACTAAATAAAACTAATATTTTTAGCTATACTCTCAGTTTGACCTTGACATTTGTAATATCATCTGCTTTGAACATCTTATTTTTGTCAAAATGAGATATTAACTATTTATTCTTAAAAACATTGTGCTCTGTGGTTAGATTAAACTCACTCTAATACAGCCAGCCTTATACATGTAGCATGACACACTAAATTCTAGCTTATGAAAAAAATTCAAATATATCTTATGACTACAGATTAATTTTACTCATTAACAGAGCCCTCCACACCTATTATTTCTCCCACATGTATGGTCTCCTCTTAGGACTTCTCCTTGGCTTAAGGCATATGCAAGAGGTTGACCCACTTTTTTTTTGTTGGTTCCTAAGTCATGAAGAAATCATCAGTGATTCAGAGCCTCGGTGCCAGACTTGCTCATCCCGGAAAAAACTCTAGGATCTAATAGGAAGTACAAAACATCCAAAAACACATTCTGTGTGCTAGAAATACTGCTTAGCTGAAGATAAAAACCAGCCTCTGTAGTCCTTCAGAAGGCAGCTTCCACACCTCATTCACTTAAAACTACCTTCACATGAAATTCACCAGCAGCAGAGCCCCACTTCAGGCTAATGAAGGAATTCAAATCAATATATGATTTTGTCAGCTTTTACATTCCCTTTGATGTACTTAATGGGAATGTATTTATGCTGCTGGGTAAAGAGAAAAAAAAATGTTATAACACCACCACAACCCTTAGTAATAGGCCCAAGATACCTTTGATCAGGATACTGTATTCTATGCCCAGAAATACACTCAAAACCCCTCAAAAAATTACTCCAAGTCATTTTTCTTTGACCTGTATGAGCTACAGCAATGCCATTAAAAGCAGATTTAAGAATATTTTTCAGTATTAGCGCAAGATTTAAAAACATCCTCTAGAATTAACATAAATAGCACCAACCTAGATCATGCTAACATTCTGCCCCTGAGTGAAGGTATTATTCAACATTTTACAGTCAGGATATAATAACAGGTCATATTAAAACTTCAGAGTTATTTCATTAAAAATTCCTTTCTGAAAAAATAAACTCAGAAGTCTCATTAATACAAACTTGGTAATAACTTATTTGTGTTAAGACAGCTTCTTCGGCTAATATTAATTACCAGAGCAAGATGCATAACTATCTTAGAAGACAGAGCCAATTAATTTTCTCCTCCTAGCTCACAAAAATCCCCTTCCTTGTCTTCTCACACACACATACTGTAGAATTTTTAGGTAGTGTATCTTGGGTTTTTTCACCCCCATTCCCAAAACAAAAACATATTTAAACTGCAATACTTGTATGCTTTCATAATTCTC